AATTGTGACCTAGAGTAAGTTGGATGAGTGATGATTCAATGTTTTTGCTGATTTGTAATTTTTTAACGGCTGTCAGACGCCACCTAGGAATTTCTTCCCTACGACAGCGTTCAACAAACGGGTTTTTTGACAGTGGTGAATGGAGAGGTAAATGGAAAAGTTGAGTGAGTACTGTGAAGCAGAATGAAGTTCGGTGAGCAGTCCGTGACGATGGTATAAGTCCAGTGATTTTTGAAACAATTCACTGTTGATTATTGTCACTTTTAAAGAGAATATTACCAGCTTTTATGAGCTATCGATTTTCCTTGCAATAAAACAATTGGGGATTTGAAACACATTTGCATTGTATGAGGTTAGAAAATGTAGTTAATTTCTATGGATTTTGAATCTTTAGTTTCTTTTACTTTTCTGACTTGTATATTTTAGAGATGAATTATGCTACTTGTACAATAAATTTGACAATGTGTGAGTTGGCAGATATTATGTCCATTGATTTGAAAGATTGTTTTTGAATTCAATAATAATGATCTATACATCTTACACATTGTCAAAATCATTGTGCAAATTCATTGTGCAAGTAGCTTAATTCTTTAGAGATCACTTCACTTAATTCTTTTTTCCTTGATATTTCTGCCAAATTCGAGGAAATGTGTTTTTTTTTTTTTTTGGTGAATTTTATTGTTAACGCTATTAAATGTTTTTATTGAAAGTTTTAGTTTAATTAAAATAACATTTATTTTTGGCTTGTATTTATGATTTCTTCCAATTTCGAGGACAATAAATGAGTTGTGTGAGGAAACTTAGGAGATTGACGGAAAACAATTGCTTTACAAGTACAGTTGAAACATACAATTTCGAGCCCCCAAAAAATTGTAATATATGTTAATGTCTAGGTCTTTAATTTAGTTATTTTCCACTCAAAACGGTATTTCACGTACGTAACTTCTATTGTCCTAAATGGACGAACCAACCATAATCGTGTAATAAAACAAAGTGCTAAAAGAAATAAAACCTTGTTTGGAAAGAATATATAACGGTTTAATTTATAAATAGATATAAATGCATAATAAATAAATGTATAATATTTTGTGGATCTATTGACACGTGATATAAATCAAATAAACGTTACTTCGAAATTTTCTTACAACTAACTAAAAATTGATAAGTAAATTTATTGATGACTTGTCAAAGGGCGAATGTCAATCATTTTTCCTCTCCGAAAACGCACTTTTCTGGTTTTGCACTTCATGCTAATAAATAAAGTTTGAGGTACATTTTTACTGATCATACTTTCGGCATGCTTGGTACTTGTTCTTCTAAAATTATTTTCAACTAAATATTTCATTTGATTCAGAACTTTTATCCAATTTTAATTAGGGGAAATTAGGCTCAGTGCCCTAAAAAATTTACATCTTTGAGTAATACTCTCAAACAAAATATAATTATAATTACCGTATTAATTACGTGTCAAACCTCAAAATATAGAAAAACCCAAATTTCTCTCTCTGTCCATCATCACATTTTTCACCAATTTCTTATCTCTCCGTCAACGGAAAAGTTCAGATGACGAGACGAATTTTTGTCCAACGAGTCAAGATCTGGACTCGTTCATGAAGAGCTTTGAGAAAGAAATAAGATCTTCATTGGAGGTGGAGGAAGTCGTGGATTTGGTGGCGAGTCTTAGCCCGAGCTTGGGTACTTGTTGGAAGCTTCTGATTATGAGCTTGGGCTTCCCTTCATCTTTCTTCGACTTGAGATTTGGCTCCATTGGAGTAGCCATTTCTTTCACCTCCCTTGTACTGAATATTTCCCCCATTTGCTACCTC